AGCACACGTGTCGACACATTAGTTCGTCCTGTCAACATTTGCTGGTCAACGATATGCAATTTCACGTCCGCACCCCCATCTTACTGTGAACGATTACTGTGTTCAAAACGATGACACGCTGTCATCAAGGAGGGGAACTGGGACTGTGTGAGTGTGTGTGTGTGCGTGTGTGTGTGTGTGGCGTGTGGTGTGGTGTGTGTGTTGGGGGGGCGGTGAGTTGTGTGGGTGTGAGTGTGTGTGTGTGTGTGTTTTCTGTTGTGTGGTGTGGATGTTGTGTGAGAGTGTGTGTTGTGTGTGTGTGTGTGTGTGTGCTGTGTGTGTGTTGTGCGTGCGTGTGTTGTGTGTGTGTGTTTGTTTTGGCTGTGGTGTGTGTGTCCGTGTGTGGTGTGTGTGTGTGTGTGTGTGTCTGTGTGTGGTGTGTGTGTGTGTGCTTGTGTGTGTGGTGGTGTGTGTGGTTGGTGTGTGTGTGCCTGTGTTTCTGATTGTTTGGTGGCGCGCAGCGCGCGCGCGGCGCGTTGTTGTTGTGCTGGGGTGTGTGTGTGTGTGTGTGTTGTGTGTGTGTGTGTGGTGTTATCTGATTGTTTATGCCGCGCGGCCGCGCGCCGGCGCGCGGCGGTGTGTGTGTGTGTGTGTTGATGTGTGTGATGTGGGTGTGTGTGTGTGTGTGTGTGGGTGGTGTGTGTGTGGCTTGTTTGTTTGTTTTGTGTTAGTTTGTTGTGTTGTGTTTGTCGTGTGTGGTGTATGTGTGTGTGTGGTGTGTGTGTGTGTGTGTGTTGGTGTGTGTAGTGTGTGCGTGCTGTTTGTGTGTCGTGTGTATGTGTGTGTGGTGTGTTGTTTGTTTGTATTGTTTGTTTGTTTGTTTGTGTTTGTTCGTGTGTCTGTGTGTGTGTGTGTGTGTGTGTTGTGTGTGTGCTGTGGTGTGGTGTGTGTGCTTGTATTGTTTGTTTGGTGTGTTGTGTGTGTGTGTGTATGGGTGTGTGTGTGTGTGCTTGTTTGTTTGTTGGGTTGTTTGTTTGTGTGTGTTCTGTGTGTGTGTAATGTGTGGATGTGTGTGTGTGTGTGTGAGTGTGTGTGTGCGTGTGTGTGTGTGCTGTGTGGTCTCTGTCGTGTGTGTGTGTGGGGGGGGATGTGCTGTGTGTGTGTGTGTGTGTGTGTGTGTGTGTGTGTGTGTGTGTGTGTGTGCGCTGCGTGATGTGCAGTTTTTGTGTTTGTTTGTGTGTGTCTGTGCTGTGTGGTGCTGCCATGTGTCTGCTCTGTGTGTGTGTGTGGTGGTGTGTGTGGTGTGTGCTGTGTGTGGTTGTGTGTGTGTGTGTGTGTGCTGTGATGTGTGTGTTTCTGAGTGTTTATGCGCGCGTTGCGTGGTGCGGTGTGTGTGTGTGTGTGTGTGTGGTGTGTGTGTTGTCTGTTGTGTGTGGTGTGTGCTGTGTGTGCTCTGTTCTGTTTGTTTCTGTTTTGTTGTTTGTGTGTGTTTGTGTGTGTGTGTTATGTGTGGTGTGTGTGTGTGTGCGTGTGTTTGTGTGTGTGTGTATGTGTTGTGTGTGTGTTGTTTTTGATTTGTTTGTTTGTTTGTGTTTGTTCGTTGGGTGTGTGTGTGGTGTGTGTGTGTGTGTGTGTGGCGGGGTGTGTGTGTGTGTTGTGCTTGTTTGTTTTGTTTGTGTTTGTTTGTTGGTGTGTTTGTGTGTGTTTGTGTAGGTGTTAAATGTGTGTGTTGTGTGTGTGTGTGTGTGTGTGTGGTGTGTGTGCTTGTTTGTGTGTTGGTGTTTGTGGTGTGTGATGGTGTTTGTGCTTGTATGTGTGCTTGTGTGTGCACTGTTGTGTGTGTGCGTGTGTGTGTGGTGTGTGTCTGTGTGGTGTGTGTGTGTGTGTGTGGTGCTGTGATGTTGGTGTGTGTGTGTGGTGTGTGGTGTGTGTGGGTGTGTGTGGCTGTGCTGTGTGTGTGTGGTGTGGTGAGTGTGTGATCTGTGTGTGTGTGTGCGCTGAGTTGCTGTTTCTGATTGTTTTTGTGCGCGCCGGCGCAGCGCGCGCGCGCGCGTGTGTGTGTGTGTGTGGTGTGTGTGTGTTTGTTTGTTGTGTTTGTTTGTTGTGGTGTGTGTGTGATATGTGTGTGTGGTGTGTGTGCTGCTGTGTGTTGGTTTGTCGTGCGTGCAATGTGTTGTGTGTGTGTTATGTGTGTGGTGTGTGTATGGTATGCTGTGTGTGTGTGTTTGTTTGTTTGGTTTGTTTGTTTGGTGTTTGTTCGTGTGTGTGTGTGTGCGTGTGTGTGTGTGTGTGTGGTGGTCGTGCGTCTCGTGCGTGTGTTGTGTGTGTGTGTTGCTGTGGTGGTGTGTGTGTGTGGTGTGTGTAGTGTCGTGTGTGTGTGCTGCTGTTGCGTGTGGACCGACGTATATGGGAGTGCAGTTGCCGTAACGATATAGACATCTTTGCCCGCGGACTAGGCGTTTGTTGTTATTGAACAGTCGATTGGTGACGACGAAGACGCTTAAGATGTGCTTGGTGTTAGCTTCTTTGCAATTGACAGCTGTCTGTGTCATGAGGGCCGCTTATATGAGCGGTTGAGCGTCTGCTAACACCACTCCTCATCGCTTGCATAAGAGGCCTTCGCCTGTGCCTACGCTGCGACATACAAACCAGGATGGACAAGCCATCAACGCTGTAGCGTTTAAAACTAGGTTAAGTTATAACAACGCCAGGATATTGCAGTGACGCTTGACATTCTAGCCAGGGGAAAATTCGGCCAGAGTGACTTCAAATCAGGAAGACTTTCAGTCAATGTGTACATTCAAAACCAAGGTGAGAAAATTTTTAGGAACGTTAGTTCCAACACAGGCTCGCGCTTATTGCAAGTTTTTTCAAGCCTGTGGAAATACGACGTTTGTTGTGCAAATCTATAGTATCACCGGTGGAGAATATCGATGTGTAAGTGTGTGTAAAATAGGAATAGCTCTGATGGAGTGCCCTACTCTCTCTCTTATATCTCTCTCTGCTCTCGTCTTCTCTCTCTCTCTCTCTCTCTTCTCTCTCTTCTCTCTCTCTCTCCCTTCTCTCTTCTCTCTCTTCTCTCTCTTTTCTCTCTCTCTCTCTGCTATCTCTCTCTCGTCTCTGTCTCTCTCTCTCTTTCTCTCTCCTCTCTCTCTCTCTCTCTCTCTCTCTCTCTCTCTCTATGTATATAATATATATTATATATATATATATAAATATAGATATATGCGAGTATACACAGTATACGGCAGAATACATTATTAGTATCAAGAGCCCATAAGGGGTTAATGGGCTCTTGTTCGTATCCATTCATAAGCTGAGTAAACATTTCGTTCTGTGGAACTAAGCTTTAGCAATTAATTGTCATGTATGTACAAGTTTTCAATCACTTGTGATTAATGCGATTTTATGCTAACATGATGACAGGTTACGGACTTGGTCACTTCGACTTTGACGTGTTCCTACGTTTATCGGGTTTGTCGAATTATTCGCCAGTCGATAAGTATTGTATGCCTATATAATGTAATAGCTTCTTACAAGGTTTGGTGACGTGTGTGTAAATTCCTGAACGTGGTGCCCCAGTATCACCAAATGATCTCGTCTGTTTCACATTTTTGTTGTAGAAAAGAGGCAATTTGTCAAACGTGTTTATGCCAATTACAGCGTGTGTAATTAATTAATCGCTGCCACAACAGGAGCAACACTGTCGACACATAGTTCGTCCTGGAACATCTGCTGGTCAACGATTGCAATTTCACGTCCGCACCCCCATCTAGTGAACGATTACTGTGTTAAAAACGATGGCACGCTGTCATCAAGGAGGGGAACTGGGACTGTGTTGAGTGTGTATCGTTGGTGTGTGTGTGTGTGTGTGTGTGTGTGGTGTGTGTGTAGTGTGTGTTGTGTGTGTGTGTGTGTGTGTGTGTGTGGGTGTGTGTTGTGTGTGTGTGTGTGTGTGGTGTGTGTGTGGTGTGTGTGTGGTGTGTCAGTGTGTGTGTGTGTGTGTGTTGTGGTGTGTGTGTGTGTGTGTGTGTGCTGGTGTCCTTGTGCGGCGATATGTGTACGACTGTGTCCATAGTGTTGTCGGTGTGTTGCGTGTTGTGTGGTGTGTGTGCTGTGTGTGTGTGTGCTTGTGTGTTGTCGTGTGTGTGGGGCTTGTGTGTGTGTGTGTGTGTGTGTGCGTGTGTGCTGTGGTGCCTGTGTGTGTGGTGCTGTGTGTGTGCTGTGGGTGTGATGTGTGGTGTGTGGGTGTGTGCGTGTTGGTGAAGAAGAAGAAGAAGAAGAAGAAGAAGAAGAAGAAGAAGAAGAAGAAGAAGAAGAAGAAGAAGAAGAAGGCAGGTGGTGGTATAATGCACTCGTAGTTGTAGGCATTAAACGGTGGTGGCTTCTTATATGGTCCCATCGCATCAGGTAACCAATCAGTGATTCGATTAAACCTATCTTGTATATATGTATATGTGTATGTATATGTGAGTTTATTAGCTCTTGATATATGTATATATATATATATATGGGTAGTAGTGGTTCATGAAGTGAATTTACCGCATTTTCTGTGATGCGCAGCATCATGACGACAAACATGATGAGTCAGAATATGTTATGTTTGCCTTGCTTCCTCGGGCGTGCTATAGTAGCACTGGCAACGTTCGTCTATGCGACACGTCAACTAGCCCCCAGGTCATATATATATATATAGCAACCGCTGGCACAAAGGCCTCTGCAAGTTGGACAATCTCCGACCAGGTGCGATCGGCGGCCAAGCACTAATCACTCATCGAACAACGGAGATGAAATCACGGATCATGATGCGTATCGGGCCGCAGCGCTAACGGCAGAGCGTGGAGCGTGGATAGCGGCGCGTGTAGCCCGCCGACCCGGCCCATCACACCTGACTGGTCATAACGGTATCTAACGGTACTTTTAGCGGCCGAACAAAGGAAAGGACTGCCGCGCGGCGCGGCGCATGCCGGGAATGAATTACACAGATGTAAATGAACGTAAACATGCGGCGGCAGGCACATTTCCCCCCGTTTTCTTTCCCAGCCAACATGGCCGCGACAATTGCAAACGGCGTGCTGCACAGCGACGCGCAGCTCCTCAGCTCACTGACAAACGGCGGCCACGTGAGCGCCATGCCCGCGAAGGACCACGACGCCATCAAACTGTTCGTCGGCCAGATACCACGCAACCTCGAGGACAAGGATCTACGGCCGCTCTTCGACCAGTTCGGAAAGATCTACGAGCTCTCGGTTTTGAAAGACCGCGTAACGGGCATGCACAAAGGTAGCCGTGTCAGCTTTTATCGATTTATTCAAATTCGTTGCAGGCTTGTCTCTCTCTCGGCGTTGGCGGCTCGCGCGCTCTCTCTCGCTCGCGCGCGCTCTGTCTCACGGTTCTGTAGCGCGGCGGTGCTGAGGCTAGCTGCTCCTGTGTGTCTGCGTTTCGAGATTTGTGCGGAAGAAGACGTCTAGCGGTGAGTGTCAGTATAGAAAGAGGGCGAGAAAGCGGCTGTTTGTCGTTAAGGGCTGTCGACGACTCTGTGACACCGACAGTAGGCAGACGCTGGCAGAGAGCGAGAGAGAGAGAGAGAGAGAGAGAGAGAGAGAGAGTGAAACGCTGGGTGAGTAAGGATGCGGTGTATAGCAGCATCGTTCGAGGATGCCAGCGATGGCGACAGGAAGAGAGAGCGAGAGAGAGCATGCGAGCGCGCGAGAGAGTGAGAGTGAGCATGATGTGGCCGCGTGAATATCAGGATGGCGGAGGCTCGGAGCCTACGCTCTCCGGCATAGCTGTTGTATATAACGGGCAAGCATTGAGGGTTAGCTAGACAACAGCTGGACGCACTAGGGGGCGACCGTATTACGCTCGCCACGCTCCGATGAACCCACTGTAATGCCGTTCGCGTCCTTTATATTCCCGTTACCAGCAACGCGTACGAGCGCCACATTACAGTACTGTACCTGCTCGCGTTTGTATGCAGTGTATTTATGTATATATATATATATATGACGGAGTAACAGTCAAGTGACAGTCGAGTAAAAGCAGCGATGTACGTTCATGCTAAATCTAACCGTGTAAAATCGTTAGTTCAGCAATGGGTCAGTTTCGGCGAATATAGTAACGTCTCTGTTAGCTAGCGTTCAATTTCCCACCTGAGCTCGTAAAACGTATGATGATCATAATGACTTGTGACTAATTAAGTCACAACAAGCCTATATGCAAATATTGAAAATATATCCGTATGTAATATTCGCCACCGCATCAGTATAATCACACGCAACGTCATCATGTAAGTAGGGTTACTCTTTTTCCCCCCGTATATTTAATACATATGCGCGCACTATGGAGGGTCTCGGTGTTACATTTTGTTAAGAGAAAATAAATTTGCGCAGAGCTTTAATTTATGTGCACTTTACGTTAATTACGAAATAAGCCATTTCTCGAATCGACCATATGTTCTTCAGTTTCTAATCATGTGCACTAACGCTTGGGCGTGCAATTTACAGAATTAACGTCTATTCGAATTTACCAATTCGTTGCGGAAATATCCGGTATATTCCACGCTGACTTACTTGCGAAATTTCTGTCTAATATCGCCATAGATTCGCGGATACGCCAGGAAGTTTTATTTATCAGAGGACTTGTATAAAATCAGAGGAATCTGTATATCAGATAATTCTATATATCAGAGTAATCTGTGGATATCAGAGAGTTAATTAGTAGATATTAGGATAACAGTGTTTATCAGAGAATTATATATATATATATATATATATATCAGAGAAATCTGTATCAAACACGAATTCTACGTATCCAAGAAATCCGTGTAAAGGATTTTTATGTATAGGAGAAATATAGATTTCACGGAATTATATATCTAATCTATATTTCAGTTCGTATGTATATATGTATGTATGTATGTATGTATGTATGTATGTATATATGTATGTATGTCCCCTATGCCCGGCCAAACCGCCCAAGCGATCTGGATGCAATTTTCAGAGGGCTATTTTACAATGGGCAACGCCGGGTATCCCGCTAGTATTAGATAAATCTTCGGATTTCGTAAAATTATCATTGGCTAGAACCGGTGCGGGACCTTGCGTGAATACTATCGTGTCAACCCACTTGTTATTTCTATCGACTACAAGCCGTGTGCTCCCGCGATCCACGAAGCACGTGACCGCCAGCATCGCTCGTCATGATATTGGCATGTCGTCGTTCCTCGGGACGCATGGGAGGGGAAGCTAGAATAACGGCGGTAGCCCGCTGGCGCTCTCTTCTCCACTTGTTGACCTGTGAACGCGGCTACTCGCTAGCGTGACACATAACGGTCCGTACGCGATTGTCAAGGGTTGCTCGTCACGTTTATCGGCTGCCATTGCAGACGTCAGTTGCTTAACGATATTGTTCGCGTTTTGTTTCCATCGGCACTGGCCACAGATAACTGTGGTGTTGTGTTGCCGCCACAATGTGTGTTGTGTTGCCTATGCAAACAACATTATCAAACACATGTACTTTGACGAACGTGGCTGTCTATTGTAGATGTACATGGTCAGCTACGGCCGATATCGAACTAACGTACGTGCTTAACTACTGAACATGGTTAACTGATGTGACTATAAATTACCATGTGCATGGCTAAACACTGTGTAGCACCCAGTACTTAGTTGATGAACGCACCCAGAGCATCTATGAATTTAATCCGTGTTTCACCTTTCTAGAGTTTTGCGTGCAACCTATGAATCTTTATTTGGATGACTTGCATTTATATTCGATGTGCCTTGTGTGTACTATAAAAACACAACGGGAATCCTATCATCGCAACATCGCCAGCATCGCAGCATGCAAATGACTGTTAAATTGAGTAGCTTTAGTTCCTTTTAAAAACTACATCATATACAGAAATATTCTACGAAACGAACGAAACGACTTACTTTCATTATTGTAACTACAAACGACTGCATTGTTGCAATTCTGACTTAATAACTTCGTCATCGTCAAAAATATGCTGGTTCGCAGTAGATGTTCAATGTAGTTATTAAAACCAGGGCTGTTAAGCCACTTCAGCTGTGCTTCGACTATCTAGACTATTGCAGTCATATTCGCTTGTACATTAACACATGTTTCCTAAAACTATGATGTAACGTGAGCTTACCCTCGATTAACTAACACTATTGCAACAAAATCTCGATATCGCGTGTGTATCTCCGTCATATTACAGATATCATTCCACAACTTTACATGATTACGTATGTGCGTTTTCGTACTTCACCTTATTTCATATATTTTTCTTTATGTATCATTTATTTTTCCGTCCTCGATATAGTCCCCTGGACTTTGAAGACTATTATTTACGAGGTTACGAGTTCATGTATATATTTATGGGCCTAGTTATTAGAGTGCAGCTAATGAATGTTATCGTATAGTGTAAATTCACAAGACTATACATATAATGAGTATGGTGCGGCTCCATACCTACAACCTGTTCAGTAAACAGCCGCGTCGTACACCTTTGTTCGCACGTAAGGCATAGTTTTAAATACAATATAGCTCATTAATTGTGTCTTAACAATGACCCTAGTAAACGATTCATATTCTTTGTCTGTGACGATGGACTCTCTCCGTGTCGAATAAACACATAAACGTTTGTCTCTCTATTTCCTATTGGAAGTTTGAAACATTAAATAACGATAGATTATCATACACACACACACACACACACACACACACACACACACACACACACACACACACACACACACACCTGTTGTGTGTGTGTGGTCTGTGAGAGGGACTAGTGAGAGTTAAGAAGGCTGAGCTGGGGTGTGGGTGTATGTTTAGAGTTGTAGAGAGTAAGAGCTCGGATGAGCCTTGGGATGTGAGTTTAAAGCCTGGCTGTGAGATGTATGTGAGAGGCTGAGAGTGTATGAGAGCTGGACTTGTGAGCGTGTATGTGAGATGCTGTGAGTGTGGAGAGCTGGGCGATGTGATGTGTATGTGAGAGGCTATGACGTGTAGAGCTGAGGATGTGAGTTGTAGTATGTGAGGGCTGTGCAGTAGTGAGAGCTGCGCGGCTGTGAGCGTGTATGTGAGAGGCTGTGGAGTGTGAGGAGCTGGGCTGTGCGTATGTATGTGAGAGGCTGTGTAGATGTGAGAAGCTGGCTGTGAGTGTGCATGTGAGAGGCTGAGGCCATTGAGTGTGAGAAGCTGGGCTGTGAGTGTGTATGTGAGAGAGCTGTGAGTGTGAGGAGCTGGGCTGTGGTGTGCATGAAGCTGCGGCTGTGAGTGTGTATGTGAGATGGCTGTGAGTGTGAAGAGCTGGGCTGTGAGTGTGACGAGCTTAGCGGCTGTGAGTGTGTATGTGAGGAGTAAAGGGCCAGTCTGGATGTGAGTGTAAGACTGGACTGTGAGTATATTGTGAGAGCTGTGAGATAGTAAGAGCTGATGGCCTGGGGTGTTGAGAGTAAGAGCTGAGGCCTGGAGGTGTGGGTTGTAAGAGCTAGGACTGTGGTGTATGTGATGGAACGGCTGTCGAGAGTAGAGCAGCAGCCTGGGTGTGGTGGGTCGTAAGAGCTGAGGCTGGGCATGTGGGTGATAAGCGCGTGGACTGTTAGTGGTGTGTGAGGAGGCTGCTGAGAGTAAGAGCTTGAGCCTTGGGGTGTGGGTGGTAAGAGCTGAGGCCTGGGTGTGGGTGCTAAGAGCTGGACTCGTGACGTATGTGACGAGGCTCAGCTGTGATGAGTAAGACTGAGCCTTGGGGTGGGGGGTGTAAGAGGCTGAGCCTGGCGGTGTGGCTCGTGTAAGGCTGGCGACTGTGAGTGGTATGTTGAGACGACTAGCTGTGAGAGTAAGGCTTGAAGCCTGGGTGGTGTGGCGTGTAAGAGCTGCAGCCGTGGGCGGTGTGGGCGTGTAAGAGCTGCGACTGTGCAGTGGTCATGGTGAGCGAGCTGAGGAGCAGTAAGCGTGAGCCTGGAGTGTGGGTTGTAGAGAGCTGAGCCTGGCGGCTGTGTGTAAGAGCTGAGCCGGGGTGTGGGGTGTAAGACGTCTGAGCCTGGTGTGGGTGTAGAGCTTGAGCCTGGGGTGTGAGAGTAAGAGTGAGCGCTGTGGGTGTGGCGGTGTAAGAGCTGAGCCTGGGTGTGGTGTAAGAGCGTGGACTCG